ATTTAATGTTGTTCAATTCAAATAAGATAAAGTATAAAACTCATTCAAAGGGATATAGTAAAAGTGAAGAAAAAAGCATGGGTTTTAAAGTGAGACAGACTTCATTGTGAATGTCAGTCATGCCACGTACTATAGCTAAAGGTTCTTATGTGGGTTAGTTATAGTTCTTATGTGGGTTAGTTATAGGTTAAAGGTTCTTATATGGGCTAGTTAACCTGCCTGGGCCTCTGTTCCTCATCCTTAGAATGTAGATGATGATATTAATTAGGGTGGCTATGAGAATGAAGTGGTAACATATATGCATAAAGTGCTAGGACATATATTCCCAATAATGAACACTATTTAATGTGGCTTACTGTGCTGCACAAAGGGTGCTAAATGTGTTACACATTTACAAATTTAATTCTTACAGCATTCCTGTGGAGTAGGGGTCATTTCTGTCCCATTTTACAGATGTGGAAGTAAAGGATAGAGATGTTAAATCATTTACCTGTAGCTGCTTAATTCTTAAGTGGCAGGAGCAGAATTCTAATTGGAGACCATCTGTCTGGCTATCTATTTCTCTGCAACAAACCATCTGAAACTTAGCGGCTTAAAACAACAACGATTTAATCATCTTTTAAAGTTTATGGGTTGATGGGATGGAGGTGCATGGTTCCTTTCCTGCAAAAGATGTGGACCGCAGCTACAGCTATCTAATAGTAGTGGTGATGGAGCTGTAACAACGGAGATGGTCCCCTCACAAGGCTGGCATTCAGTACCGACATTCTGCTTGGAGTTCAGATGTGTATATTGGCTGGATCACCTCAGTTATCTTCTTTTGTGTGTGTATATATATATATATATATATATATATATATATATTATATTGCACTTTAGGTTCTGGGATACATGGGCAAAACATGGAGGATTGTTGCATAGGTACATATATGGCAATGTGGTTTGCTGCCTCCATCCCCCCATCACCTGTATCTGGCATTTCTTCCCTTGTTATCCCTCCCCAACCTCCCTACCCCCAGCTGTCCCTCCCCTAGTCCCCCCCAGCACACCCCAGTGTGTGATGATCCCCTCCCTGTGTCCATGTGTTCTCATTGTTCAACACCCGCCCATGAGTGAGAACATGTGGTGTTTGATTTTCTGAAGTTATGTCAATTTGCTGAGAATGATGGTTTCCAGGTTCATCCATGTCCCTACAAAGGACAGGAACTCATTGATTTGTATGGCTACATATTATGCCATGGTATATACATGCCACATTTTCCTTGTCCAATCTATCATCAATGAGCATTTGGGTTGGTTCCAGGTCTTTGCTTTGTAAACAGTCACACAATAAACAAACATGTGCATGTGTCTTTAAAATAGATCGATTTATAGTCCTTTGGGTATATACCCAGTAATGGCATTGAGGGTCAAATGGAATTTCTATTTCTAGGTCCTTGAGGAATCGCCACACTGTCTTCCACAATGGTTGAACGAATTTATACTCCCACCAGCAGTGTAAAAGTGTTCCCATTTCTCCACATCCTGTCCAGCATCTGTGGTCTCCAGATTTTTTAATGATCACCATTCTAACTAGTGTGAGATGGTATCTCAATGTGGTTTTGATTTGCATTTCTCTAATGACCAGTGATGATGAGCATTTTTTCATATGTTTGTAGGCCTCATAAATGCCTTCTTTTGAAAGTGCATGTGGCCTCATCTTACGGATTGCCTCCAGGAGGCATAGGGACTGGGTTCCAGGAAAGAGTGTTGCAAGAGGACTAGCTCCAATTTACAAACATGTAAGATGCATTCACTTGCATCACACTTGCTAATGTCCCGTTGACCAAGGTTTGTCACATAGAAAAGCCCAGAATCAATGTGGGAAATAACTATACAATGACATGAATACTGAAAGGCCCCATTAAGGCTACTAAAATAATAGCCCACCACAACACCTGTCATCAGAAGCATTCTTTTCTAGCTTTCAAACTTTCATAGCTGTCAGTAATCTACCATTTTGGGTAGCATGCTGGACAATGCCTTGTGAGAAGGACTTAGCAGTTTCAGACACAGAGTCAATTACATCTCTTTAGTAAGTTTTCATACTTTCCCACTTCCAAATATGGCATAAAGTTTCAATTTTTAAAATAATTTTTAAAATAAATGTTAGTTTTATGAAAGAAAAATGCCTCTCTCAAGGATTGAAGTTATTTTTAAAAGGCCAAATCTGTATTGGATTTTATATGTATGATTCTTAGTGAATAAAGTAATGTGAAATATTATCATATTTTATGCCCTGTCATTATTCAAATGAAAGTGAATATATAGCAATCAATTTCTTAGAGTTTATGGCTAATTTTGGATTTTAAAAGACATTTCCTTTCAAAGGAATAAACTTTTTTCTGTTATTTCTGTGAAAGAAGAATTTTTACTTGAGGAACTGTACTGGTACCAAAACAGAGATATAGACCAATGGAACAGAACAGAGTCCTTGGAGGCAATGCCACACATCTACAACCATCTGATCTTTGACAAACCTGACAAAAACAAGCAATGGGGAAAGAATTCCCTGTTTAATAAATGGTGTTGGGAAAACTGGCTAGCCATGTGCAGAAAGCAGAAACTGGACCCCTTCCTGACAGCTTACACTAAAATTAACTACAGATGGATTAAAGACTTAAACATAAGGCCTAACACTATTAAAAACCTAGAAGAAAACCTAGGCAATACCATTCAGGGCATGGGCATAGGCAAGGACTTCATGACTAAAACATCAAAAGCATTGGCAACAAAAGCCAAAATAGACAAATGGTTTCTAATTAAACTCCACAGCTTCTGTACAGCAAAGGAAACAATCATTAGAGTGAATAGGCAATGAACAGAATGGGAAAAAAGTTTTGCAATCTACCCATCTAACAAAGGGCTGATATCCAGAATCTACCAAGACATAAAAGAAAACAAACAAACAAACCCACCCAAAAGTGGGCAAAGGACATGAACAGATACTTTTAAAAAGAAGACATATATGAGGCCAACAAACATATGAAAAAATGCTCATCTTCACTGGTTATTAGAGAAATGCAAATTAAAACCACATTGAGATACCATCTCAGGCCAGTTAGAATGTTGATCATTAAAATATCTGAAGACAACAGATGCTGGAGAGGATGTGGAGAAATAGGAACACTTTTACACTGCTGGTGGGAGTGTAAATTAGTTCAACCATTGTGGAAGACAGTGTGGCGATTCCTCAAGGACCTGGAAATAGAAATTCCATTTGGCCCAGCAATCCCATTACTGGGTATATACCAAAAGGATTATAAATCGTTCTATTATAAAGACACATGCACACACATGTTCATTGCAGCATTGTTTACAATAGCAAAGATCTGGAACCAACCCAAATGCCCATCGATGATGGACTGCACAAGGAAAATGTGGCACATATACACCATGGAATATTATGCAGCCATCAAAAACGATGAGTCCATGTCCTTTATAGGGACATGGATGAATCTGGAAACCATCATTCTCAGCAAACTGACACAAGAACAGAAAATCAAACTCTGCATGTTTTCACTCATAGGCAGGTATTGAACAACAAGAACTCATGGACACAGGGAGGGAAGCATCACACATTGGGGTCTGTTGGGGGAGAACAGGGGAGGAACAGTGGAGGGTACGGAGGTTGGGGAGGGATAATGGGGGAGAAATGCCAGGTATAGGTGATGAGGGGATGGAGGCAGCAAACCAAATTGCCATGTATGGATCTATGCAACAATCCTGCATGTTCTGCACATGTACCCTAGAACCTAAAATGCAATTAATATATATATATATATATATAGAATAAAAGAAGGAAAAAACTTTTCATTTAATATAAAGTAAAATAATTTACTTTTTATGCCATTTATATAGGTTCAATGCAGAACTTTTTGTTTGTAAGTTTTACTGCAGTTAAAGTATTTTATATTTGTATATGACCTTTATTTCTAAACAGAAATATTTTATCTTAATGACCCAAAACACTCAAAGTGTTTGTTCTGTTAACACTGACTTTGCAACCAAATCAACCCTGGCAATCAATGAGGTGACATGTCACAGCCAGATCGTCCTCACCATTGTGGAAGACAGTGTGGCAATTCTTCAAGGATCTAGAACTAGAAATACTATTTGATCCAGCAATCCCATTAGTGGGTATATAACCAGAGGATTATAAATCATTCTGTTTTAAAGACCTATGCATATGTATGTTTATTGTGGCATTATTCACAATAGCAAAGACTTGGAACCAACCCAAATGCCCATTGGGGATAGACGAGATAAAGAAATGTGGCACATATATACTACAGAATACTATGCAGCCATAAAAATGGATGAGTTCATGTGCTTTGCAGGAACATGGATGAAGCTGGAAACCATCATTCTCAGCGAACTGACACAAGAAGGGAAAACCAAACACAACATGTTCTCACTCACAAATGGGAGATGAACAATGAGAACACATGGACACGTGGAGTGGAGCATCATACACTGGGGCCTGTTGGGGGGTTGGAGGGATAGGGGAGGGATAGCAGGGCGTGGGTTTAGGGGAGGGATAGCATTAGGAGAAATACCTAATGTAGATGACGGGGTGATGGATGCAGGAAACCACTATGGCACGTGTATACCTATGTAACAAATCTGAACGTTCTGCACATGTACCCCAGAACTTAAAGTATAATAAAAATGTGTAGACAGTTCAAAAAAAATACATAACCCTTTACTCTTGATTCATTACTTCAAGTTATGTTAGCAATGATTTACGGGCAACACCATGTCAAAGCCGTTTGGCGACCAATGCAAACTCTGATAACGTCACAGGCTCGGATCAAGACTCTGAGGCGGAGATAATCAGAAGATGATATCGGAACTAAGTTATTCTCTTAATGACTGTGGTGTTAATATTAAAATTTTTCTTTTCTTAAAAAAATGAGACATGTATATAAAAGAATTAATGAAGAGACTCAGTAACTTACTTTTTGTGACAACACCTTCTAGGCGAATGATATTTGGATGGTCAAACTGGCCCATGATACTAGCTTCTCTTAGAAAATCCCTTCTTTGCCGATCCATGTGGCCGCCTTTCAAGGTTTTAATGGCAACTGGGATCTCTCTTTTCCCTGGTGTCTTCAAACGCCCACTACAGACTTCTCCAAATTCACCTTAAAATATGAACAAAAGCAGCTATTTGATTAAACTAAATACTTGTGTTTCAGAAGAGTCAAACTGTCACACAGTGACATCCATTTTTCATATAATGACTGTTAAATATGTTATTTTCACATAAACATTTCTTAAAAACTAAGTTTATAAGGATAATATGGTTGATCAGCAACACTTCTAATGAATAATGGAATGTACTTTCATATGATAGAACACAGGAAATACTATTGATAGATATCCCTGATCTGCTGAGAAATTATGACTAGCAGAATGTATAATGCTAATGTAATTCTATAGAAATGCAATCACAGCATAACGTCTCCTGTTCCTGTTCTCAATGCTGATATATGGGTCAAATGTTTACTCTATTCAGAGAATCCATCAGGCACCTGCAGTTAATTTGATCTCCTACGTCATACGACTGGACATCACTGACAGGAATCAATGTTAGGGTCAACTGATGTATGAACATATTGAAGACACCCACACTGTACTCTAGTATAGTAAATTATCATACCGCCTAAATCACAACCCACGTGGATGGAAAAACAGATAAGGAAGACGAGATATGGTTCAGCATTGTCTCCGCTGGGTAGACTAAAAAATCACCAAATATTTAGCAAGCGTTTATTAGATCTATATCCAGTGCTAGAATGTTGTGTTTCAAAGAAGATAAGACTTGGTCTCTGTTCTCAGGTGCTTATAATCTGGCAGGAGAATTTAGATGAACATAAATGAAACACTTAAGAACTTAAGAATAAATTCCTGTAAATGCTGTATTTGTTAAGTAAGAACAGTGAGGGCTGAAGACTTCCTGGAGAGGATGGAACTTATGCTGGACCTCGAGAGATGAGCAGGATTTAGGTATTTGAGAGAAGCAGGACATTCAAGACAGGGTGCATAGGGAGTAAAAGAAATGAAGAAAATCATTAGCAAACTTTGAAATTCTAGACTCAACTTTTCTAGAGCTCATTACCTGTATTTCCTTAAGACCATGACGACTGATTCTCAATTTATTAATATATAAAGTGAGAATAATAAAACCTTCCATAATTCTATAACCTCTTTTCCCAGAAGGATATTGGGAAGATGAAAAGTGACAATTTATGTCAAAGTGCTTGTAAACTGTAAAGTACTATTCATACAGTGTTTTAAGTTTCCAAAATCTTTGGAAGGATGAAAGAAATTAAAATATCTTCGGTTGGTCTATTAGCAGTTATGGCCAACTGTAAGACATAATATAAGATTAAGCAAAGAATATTGAATGAAATTTTGCCATACAATGGATTTCAATTATCCTTACTTTCTTTGGACAGCTTATCACAGCCAACGAAATGCTGACTATGCATGAGTATTAACTACCTTTTAGTGTAGGTACTAAGATTTTTTAGGTAAAATAAATAACTATTCGGAGGCCGAGGTGGGCATATCACAAGGTCAGGAGATTGAAACCATCCTGGCCAACATGGTGAAACCCCGTCTCTACTAAAAAATACAAAAATTAGCTGGGCGTGGTGGTGCACACCTGTAGTCCCAGCAACTTGGGAGGCTGAGGCAGGAGAATTGCTCGAACCCAGGAGGCGGAGGTTGCAGTGAGCTGAGGTTGTGCCACTGCACTCCAGCCTGGCGCCTGGTGACAGAGAGAGACTCTGTCTCAAAAAAAAAAAAAAAAAAAGAATAAATAAATAAATAAATAAATAGGAAGGAAACAAGGCATAAGTTTGCGTTCGAACAATTATGTGTACACGTGTCCATTAGAAACAGAAAGCAGTCTAACAAGGGAATTTATTCTATTTATGTTAAAGAAACAAACAAAGAAACAAGCAAACCAAAACCACTGAAAATTCAGTGGGTATGATATTAGGGTTTTGTAAATCTTGTATGAATCTGGCAACAAACACAAGAATAATCTTTTTTTTTTTTTCACTTAACAATACTCTGAAGCTGTTGGAGGATGAATTTCCTTACTTCCCAAGAAAAAAAAGAAGTTGCAGTTTTTCAGTTCTGCTGTAATAATGCAATGATTTAGGTATACCACGTCGAAGCTGTTTGGTGACCAGTGCAAACTCTGATAATGTCCTAGCTTAGAATCAAGACTCTGAGGGGAGATAATCAGAAGGCGGTATCTGCACTAAGTTATTCCTTTACCAGCTGTTGTATTATTAAGATTTTTTTCTTTTAAATAATGAAAGTAGGTTCGTGAAAGAAGTAAAAGATTTTCTCTTATACATAAAAATGCCAACTGATATAAATTTTCAACACATTTCTACTGAGACTCTGAACCTTGAGAGAAGAGGTGGGTATGTATGTTTACACTAATGTCCATACAATCAGGCCTGTTAAGACAGTTAAAATTCATCCTCCGATCGTTCATCCTGGTTTGTTCTAATGAATATTCAGAGCAAAAATAAGTATTTATTTTTCCCTATTTTTTCTTTTCTTTTGTGTAATAAATCTGAAAGTATGTATAAAGATTCAGCAATATTTTAAAACCCCTCACCTGCCATGAGCCCATAATCCATGTGATTTTTCTGTTCACATTTCAGAGAAATTCAAATAAACTTTTGAATATCATGAAAGGACGAGAACTCTGTTGGTATTTTATCAAGATAGACAAAGTGTTAATTTTCTTTGGTTTTCTGTTGCCTGAAATTCATGTATCTCATTAACACCAGGCAGGTGTTGTCTTCATGCCAAGCTTTGCATGATCAAGCTGTTATCACACTTATTTCAGTGGTACTAAATATGGTCGCCTCAATTAAAGAACTGAGACTCTTAGTGTATTCTTTAGCAAAGTCCAAAAAACTCCGTCACATAATATATTAAAACTGTTATCTACAGTGGGCTTGAATGAATCAGACATATCAGGCAGACAGGAAAAATCTTTTAAATTAAATGCATAGTGTCAGATTTTGCTAAACTGATTTATTATGTCATTGACCTTGTAGCAAAAGTAGAGATCCCATATAGAACTGTAAGTGATAAAAATGATTCCTCAATAGGATCTGTGAACATTTATATATACTGATTAGTACATAATTAACTCTTCAACTATAGAAATAGGGTATTAATTATGTTTTTTTAAATCTTCCAATACATAGTTGTAATTATTATTACAAAGCTAGGTCTTACATAATGTTATCCTGTGCTGGGTCTAAGAAATTACTATATATTTTATTCTTCCCAATAAACTGCTGAGGTAGGTACTAGTATTATCGCAGTTTATTGGTAAGCTAAGTAACGTACCCGCAAAGACACAGCTAGAAAGTGTAATGTCATTTGAAACTGGGCCATCCAGCTTCAGAGTCCATGCTAACGTACCTGCAAAGACTAATGTCATTTGAACCTGGGCTGTCTGGCTTCAGAGTCCATGCTAACGTACCTGCAAAGACACAGCTAGAAAGTGTAATGTCATTTGAACCTGGGCTGCCTGACTTCAGAGTCCATGCTAATGTACCCGCAAAGACACAGCTAGAAAGTGTAATGTTGTCATTTGAACCTGGGCTGCCTGACTTCAGAGTCCATGCTAACGTACCCGCAAAGACACAGCTAGAAAGTGTAATGTCATTTGAACCTGGGCTGCCTGACTTCAGAGTCCATGCTAACGTACCCGCAAAGACACAGCTAGAAAGTGTAATGTCATTTGAACCTGGGCTGCCTGACTTCAGAGTTCAAGTCTGAAACCTTTATTCTCTGCTGTCTGAGTTGTTTACCATTGTTAACATTTTCCTGTGTTGGGATGTTAAATCCCCAACTGGTAGCAATGGTGGCTTAAAACCAACTATTGTAATAGTGTTCAAATGCATGAAGTGGATATGAACAGATGGTTGGAATGATAAAACCATATCCTAGGAATGTTTCACTATTAAACAGAAATGGAGGCCCCTCTCAAATATGTTATATGTTAGATGGTCTGGAAAAATCACTACAGCCTAGTTTCCAGAGAGCAAAGAAAATTGTATCTAGGATAATTGATCTTCTGCCACTGACCGCACATTCACAAGCTAACAACCCCATCTATCTCCCTGGATGCTGGTGAAACATTCTTGGACAAGCAATTTTGTTGTATGTTATACAGGGTCATATTAAAATATCAATTACTATTGAACTTTTCGTATAAAGTCTATATAATTGAACTAAATCTGTGAGGGAAGGGTAGAGGCAGTGAGGGGAAATCTGTCTTGGAGGACCACTGCATCAGGATTCCTTTGAGGCTTTCCAAAAGTTTACTTCCCATGTTCTGAGATTCTGGTACTTTCTTCATATTCAACCCCTAGAGAGCACTGAAGCAAAGAGCCATGCTCCTGATAGTTTTATCACACCTCTTGTGTGAAATGTTTCTCTGCTCATACTTGCTGTTTCCCTCAGATGGGAATGCCCTCCCACACACTTTCCTCCTTTCTCTCCTGTCTGTACTCTCCTCAGTTCTTCTCTGTGTGGATGGCTCCTTCTTAGTGGTAAAGGCTGAGCTTTGATACCCGTCTTTCAGAAAACTTTCCTTGACCAACCCATCTAATTTAGCCTCCCACCACCATCAGGCTCTTTTGAGTATAAAAAGAGCAGCCTCTGAGATCTGGAAACTGGCCCAGCTCTCAGAGACATGCTATTTTATTCCCCTGCTGGAAATAACACCAACTTCAGGCTACTCTGAGACCATGATAAAATGAGACACAGTAGGGCCACTTAATAATTTTGTCTAAGTACAGACAAAGGCAAGGTCATCGTGCCTCCCCAAAACACCAGAAATCCTGACTCTTGTCTAAAATGAGTGCTACTTGTAAGAAACAAGTAGAGCTTTATTCTCATATCTTGTCTTCCCTTCGTATAGCTAAGATTCATTAATACACTATGGTTCAAGTCCTAAAATTAAGGCCCAATATTATTGGCTTCTGTGATAGCTGAGGGCATCCGAAAGGGATTTAAATAGCCCTCCTGTATTCTTCCCTACTCTGCTCCCGCAAATAAGGTTTCCTAGCCGAAGAACCTGCATATCAAGTAG